TTTTAATATTTCACAAAATGTATCTTGTTAGTTAAAAGTTTTCATTTAAGGGTAGGGGGAGAAAGGGTGTGAATAGGAACTTAACGTTGAATTCACAACAATTAATTGTGGCCTCTACGTCAATAGATTATTCCCGCAAACTGCATCCATTGCCGTTTTTACATAAATAAAGAAGCATGTTAAATAAACACCCTACAACAGCTAGTGTAGTAATACAAACTTTATATTATTTAAGTTAACAAATACTACATACATCGATGACTACGGATAACATTAGTAATTAGTACATGTGTTTTAACTCAGATCTCATCTCCATTTTTTTGCTGCATCTGTAAATTGATTCATAAATTAAAATCCTGTTTGCAATGTTGTATTTAAAACAGTTAAAACCCCATCAAGCAATGTGAACTTTTACTGGACAGTTGAAGGTCGTTTGAAACAAAGGGGTTCGAGAGTGCAGACAGGTGACGAGGTGACGTCATCAATATGGCCGCCACAGCTGATAACACTGCGGAGTAGACTGCTGACTGGTGCTGATAACGTGTATTCAACAGACCATTTCTGAGAATAACAATCTAAAACTTCGAGAGTGCAGACAGGTGACGAGGTGACGTCATCAATATGGCCGCCACAGATTATCATCAGTAGACTGCTGACTGGTGCTGATAACGTGTATTCAACAGACCATTTCTGAGAAGAACAATCTAAAACCTTAACAACAATTATCTTGTAACTATAAATTTGAAGTGATTAATTTTATCAGGGATGTTTTCTGTCACTATTATTAGCTGGTTTTCACATTATGTTTGTAGGTAAAGGATTGAAAATTGTTTGTCATGCTTTTATTTTTTTTTTTTTATTTATGTACTTGTCTTCTATTCTATCCATGTATTTTGATTATTATTTGCTACTGATAGTATTACTGCACTCTGGTACACAGGGAAGTCCGAAGAGGAACCACCGTACCTCTTTGAAAGACTGGTCACCCGCGATCGGGCGTCTCAGCGCAATACCCGGGACAAGACAAAAATATTCATTTCCCGAAGAAGAGGTAGGAGGTTAGGAATTTGAGGTTTTTCGTTCTTTGGGCCTAAAATGTACAATGACCTCCCCTGTAACCTGAAGATGCTGGGTGTGCCAGCTTTTAGATATAGGCTAAAGAAAATGTATTTTTTGTAAATAGCCAAAATCTTGTAAATAGGGGGATCAGTATTTTTGTTTTGTATTTAGTTTTAAGTTAGGATTAGTTATTTGACAAGAGTCATCCTGTAAAACAGTTTGTACTGAGGAGCGCTTGCTAATAAAAGGCATTTTTATTTATTTATTATTATTAAAAAAATTAAATAACTTCTTGATCAGCATTGTACGTGTTATTAAATTTACGGAAAGTAAACAAAAGAAATGCACATTCTTATGCTTTCTTTAACATGCCGGTCCTTGATACCTCTTTTGTTTTAGTATTTTTCTTGTTAAATTGTTGATTTAAGATTATGCATCTTTAATTGAGTTTCATTCCAATAGTAATATTTATATATTTTTATTACCGTTTGTGGTATGTTATGTATTCTTAAATTTACGCTTACTGTTAATGTACAGAGTGAGGCAGTGAAACGACACGATTTTAAATTGCACAACTAATTAATTTAGAAAAAAATGATAGTTGTTTGAACATAAATCCTAAGTACATAAGTGGAAATTAATGTTTCACCTTAAAAAATTATTATATTTTTCCATACGGTGTCAGTAAAATTGTGTGGTTGCTTGTAAGTACCTTAGTTATTTTCACTGTAAGATAATCAATATTTTTTATCAATTAAGATGAATTTGACTTGGCTAATGCATGTATATGTTGATCTGGCCTAATAAATGACTTATTAACTTATTGTATTCGGTTTTGTACACATTGTTGAATTATGAATTGAAATGAGCCCATTACGTTTTTTTAGAGTTTGCATAAAGTCTGCCATCGTTTTATAGCGCTTTGTCGTGCTAAAAGTGGCTTCAAAGAATACCATCCACGTTTTTGTAATATGCATTTACAGCAATACACACTAACATTTCTCAAAGTTCGAAAACTAAACCATTGAGGGCTAAAACAAAGTGAAGCTGTTATGATAGTGATGAATGCTATCACTTTTGATTGTTTGTGAAAAAATAAGACTATCGTTTTGATATAAAATCATTCGAATCGTTTAGAAGAACGAAAATTCATATCGTTTGGTTAGCTAATGTTTCTATAGAAACAACTGCTATATCTATAGAACTGCTATCTAACATAAGCATACAATACAGTACACACACTTCACACACTTGTTATAAAATTGGTAAACTGAGTGAAATACTATGGCTGAAAAAGACAAAGATGTGAGCTATAGCGAATTCAATCCAGAACATTATTCAACAATGTCACAACCTGAGACGAGGAACGAAAATGTCTCTGTTGCGCAAGGAAATGACGTTGAAACAGTACAAGAAGCTCATAATAGCAATGCCAACACTCCCACCAGTCAATCAACAAAGAATGAAAGTAGTCATAATCAAAGAAAAATCGTTGTTGAATCCAGTAATACTCAAGTGGATACCCCTGAAAATATTGACGGTCATAGTTATATTGGGTTTAATCCAGAATTCCATTCAACATTCAAAGAACCAGATGTAAATCAGGATAATAGGTCAAATCTGCAAAACAAATCTGACGTTGATGGTGCAAACGAAAGCTACACGAAGTTCAACCCCAAATATCACTCAACAAAGACAGAAGACACGTCAAACAAGAAAAATCGAGCTAAAATCAAAAAGACAGATAGTGTGAATAAAGATAATAGTTTTAAATCAAACTACAGTAGTTTCAAGCCAAAACACCACTCATCACTAGATAAATCACGTGGTACAAATTCAATAGACGAGGATCCAATTATCCTGGAAACGAATGATTTGCTTAACGTATGTCTACAAAAGGTGATGGCACAAGAGAAATTGTTTACCTCAATGGCATGCAGAGTGTATAACATGCTCAACGATATAAAAATGTACAAAGTATTGGTCAACCAACAGGACAGATTCGAGCTGAATTACAACTCGGTTTTTCAAGCATTGCTACAAGCAGGTGATTACGAAACTGTCTCCATAGATGATCAAAGTCCTGAAGAGGAAATTTACCAGCAAATTCAAGACACGATTTATGCTTTTCAATTAGGCTTGAGAGGTCAGAACATGGTTGTGAAAGATGTGAGTCAACAAACTCCTGAGAGGCATTCGGCTGTATCAAAGTTCATGGATAAACACGAATTACGGTTAAAGCTGCTTGAAGATTCAATTGACGAGTTGAAAAGAATAGCTGATGGAATTATAAGGCTGAAAACACAGTTACACTTCATCGCAATTGGTGAATAACGTCATGGTATCTACTGGGTCTAGGTTCACAAATTAAAATTATAGTTATGGAGGGAGTGAGCATTTTGCAAATTAAATTAGAATACTTAAAATTTTAATATTCATTTGAAAAATTATTCAAAATATAATTTTTAAATCATTAAATAACCAAAGTCACTTATTAGGGTTCTAGAAATGAAATATGCTACTTGTTCATAATTCAAGAAGACTCAGATTTATGTTAACTCATCAATGTATTTCGGATAGTACAAACGCAAAATGAAATGATCCTTGGTTTGTTTATAATATTGAGAACAGTGACAAATGTAGCCTATAAGTGAAATTTTTACATTCAAAAATCCATTCAAGTCATTAGAATTGACACTCAAAGTAACGGAGTCGAACAGTTCAGTTGAGGAATTAAAGAATCGTCAAATCAATAGAATGAACGTTTTTATTTTATCAATCCTACATGATCAAACTTTACCAGACTACAAAACAAGCTACGTCCTACTGATTAATCTACATTAAATCTAAAACAACTCTCTAAATGCTATATGGACGGCATTTAAGAAATTTAATCTACTAATGCATTATAAAAAGACAACAATTAAAAACCTTGCAGATTGTACCTACATAATTGAACTTTAAACGTGTTTATTAGTAGAACCAAAAATAACCTAGATATATTGCCTTAATGATGACACAACTCAGTTAACCAACACAAGTCAGTGATTTAATCCATAGGCCTACGTAGTGAAGAAGGTTTGTTCGATATATTATTTATTTTGATTTTTTCCATTTACTTATCATTGAATACAACCGCATAGTAAAATTTTTGCTGTAGTAAACAATGTAATAAAGAATTTTCGCGGGTGATAAAAATGTAAAGAAAAGAGCGTATTTAACAGAAAACTTTTAGAAGTGATGATATTTCAAGCATAATTGGATTTAAACTAAAAAAATATAATCAAATAAAAAAAAGCAAATCCGGTTAAGGTACAAAAAATGATAAATACACCGTTCAACACAAAATTTACTTCAGTATTCTGAAATAACATTCAGGATGCCCATGCAATTTCGAAACGCCCACATCACTTTTTAAACTACAGAGCTGTCGACAGAGTTAAAGCTTTTTTAACAATAGCACCCACCACTCGGGAGATAAAAATTTGATTTTGATTACATCTTAGTCGTAAAATGTATGAATATTAAAATCAAACTAAACTTATTCATAATATTTTTAAATACACACAAGATTCAATATTAAAATTAATTTATCAAACTGATGAATGTTTTCTAAACAACAGAAGAATTATAAAGCAGAATGTAAATTATTTGCTAAATATAATCCTGAAGCGATGGACAGTGGGCGCAGCACACAAATAAACCTAGAAGAGACACACAAATACCCAACAGATATAGTGAAAGCAGATTCCAAACTAAAGTGTAGCCACAGAAACTAGAAAACAAAAGGCACTGCTGGCTCTTTGTTTCGATATTCTACCAAGAGCCACAAAAGTAAGATAAGATGAGCAAGTAACAAGACTCACTTTCTTACTTCTTTGTGCTTTATCACATAATCACACAAACTAGAAACCCGAGCTTCGACTGACTTCTGTGGCTTAACTACTCTCCTTGTCTCATCTAGCGCATTTGATTGTAAGGACAAACTGGGACAGTGGGTCTGGGGACAGTGTGTCCTGGGACGGTGCGTTCTGGGACAATGTACACTGGGAAGGTATATTCTAGGACCATGTGCCCTGAGCAGGTACATCCTGGGAAGCCGCATCCTGGGATGATGCACTCCTGGACTATACATTCTAAGTCGTAACATCCTGGGAAGACACATCTTGGGGCTGCGGGCACTGGGTTACTGGTATACAACATGTTGAAGTAGTACCCAGAGGATGTTGGGGCACAGCCGAGGTAGAGATGGTTGTTCAGCAGCTTGGCATGGATGTTCTCGATACTGGTCAGAAGAAGGTGTTGATGATTGCAAGTGTCACTGCTCATTTGGAAGTTAGCTGAAACAGTTGCAATTATGGCAATGACATGTATATTGATATATGGGAAACTCCCAATTTTAGTTGTGATGGTAATTAAAGCAATAAATAAACTCGAGTTTGACTTCCACGGAAAGAAAACACGTACATATAGACCAACGACTCAAACTATCCACAATTTCATAAGAGGGTGGATTAAATTCACTAATTCATAGATTACTCAATACATATTTAACTGAAGAAAGATTTACAAGGAACTAAAATTAAAAAAAAATTTAAAAACCAGAAAAATAAAAAAAACTACCCACATTTCAGTAAATAAAAAAGAAAAGAATTTGAGTAGTACAACGAAACGTACAGCTCAAAATTTGCAAGTAATATTAAGATCATTTTCAAGAATAAAATATCACAAAATTTAGCTTTCAGACCTATTAATCTACTGAAATCAAAATTAGGCTATCCTAAAGAAAAACCATTAAAATTTGACATGTCTGGAATTTATGAAACTAATTGTTATAATTGTAATATGAAATATATCGGCCAAACAAAAAGAAACCCCAAACCACATTCAAAGAACACCAAGCTCATACAAAATACGGAAGACCTAAAAAGTCAGCCCTTGTACAGTAGAGGACATAATTTCAATTTGGGAAACCTTATACTTTTAAAACAAATTATAAAACTTAACATCTTAATGCGTGGGAATCTTATTTTATAGAAAAAAAAGACCAAAATTATTTGTTAAATAATGAAGACAGCCCAATTATTAAGTCGGAAATACTGAAAATAATTACAACAAGTAGAACACTGTAATGTATCAACAATTTTATATTTTAATTGTTTTTCTAAAAGTATATTTTTATATTTTCCAACATACTTTACATAATCTGTCTTAACTTTATTTAAAGTTAATTTATTATTAAGTAAATATTTACTTTTTGTATAATGTAAACACAGCCTGACGATAGAAACCTAGTTTCTGAAAACGCCTGTGAATAAAACAAATTATTATATTTTGGCCTTGTTGAACAATTAAATTTAGTTATATATTCCATTATTAATTTTCCAACACTTAAATGTAAGACGAAAAATGCTAAAACAATGAGATATTTACACTGTCATGTTATTTACCAGATATGTGTTGAATGTCGCTCTTAATGCTGTTCCTGATTTGAGTGCTGGTACGAATGGTCCAGTTACTACACAGGATTTCCATCTGTAGTGGGTACATGTAATCATTAAATGCCTCCAAGAAGATTTCTTCCAGTTCTAAAATGCCAAATCACAAAGAGAATAATACACAGGTACAATACAGCTAACAAGCTATCTAAGCTTAGGTGCATTTATCTTTACTTTTATAAGTAGAAAACTCTTTTGTCTACAAATGTCACACAAACTGGCATATTTTAAACTAAATTTAGTTTGAAATACTGCTGATATATCGAATATCTACCCTACTTGTCTTGCTTGAAATGTTCTTTTAACAACATTATCAACCTAAAAATGTAAATGTTGGTATAGGATTCGTGCCAGTTACGTCATTTGTTTGTATGTTTGATCCATACAGGTCTGTTCTAATATTTTGAATTGTACAGAATAGATTTCAGACAAAACTGTATTCGTCCTATTTTTCCTTTAGCTATTTGTATTGACCCTAACCTTTCCCCATAAGAATAAACTATATGAGCAATCTGACACATACTTGCTCCGGATCGTTTGTCATTTTGTCAACAACCCTCACGATGGTAAGCGGTCGGAGTAACTAGTATATTTTATGAGGAAATTACAACAGTTTAGAGTAAATTTTTAACCGTAACCTGGTAATATAGCTTATAGTGTAAACTATAATTTCTACATCGATAGGAGTTGTACCATTTTGTTAGGAATTGAAAGAGCTTTACGTAATAAAGTTTAATTAAACCCATTTGGGTTTTTTATTATTTGATGGTACCATTATTTTATAGATTTTTTGTGAAAATTCATCATGGAATATCAAACTTAAAAAAATTAAAATAAACACATTTGTACCCAAATTCCATAATTTCATTGAAATCAGAACACACGTGTGGTTTGTAGCTCTGTACACATCCACCAACACCCTAAAGCACACAATATTATGTGATCTGCGATCCTCACACACACACACTCACAGACATCACTTCAAAAACGACATTTTTGGGTTCAGAGGGCAGGCGAGGATTTACCTACTGGTGCAGTTGGATAAGTATTTTACCTCATCAAGTGTCAATAAAATCCAACTATTACTGGATTAAAAGGCGGAACATAGTAAAAATGGTTAGAATACAATACACACCAGCATCAGAGTATCCCGAGCAATTACAGATTGAAAAGCAGTGCACCGCCGAGATGACTTCAGCGTTGTGCTCTTCACAGAACAACATCATCATAACTGAAACAGAACAAAAAACAGAAGCAACAAGTATTTTCATGTGTTGAAACCCAATCGTGAAAGGAAAACGCACAAACTTGTACCAGCAGAAGAATGTTATAAACACGTTAAAAAGGTTAAGTAAAAGTTGAAAGTTTCTTTTGCAGCTCAATGTCAAGCGTTTAGAGTAAATTATGGCTAAAAACAAGAGGAAAGGAATTAACACAATAGTTATTTGTGCAACTAGTGAGCAAAGTGCCTCACTTTGCCCTCGAGTTGCACACTATATTTTCCCTACAATTACCATAAAACAAATAAATTGGTAAAGAAACGTGCCTTCACGTTGCAAATCCGGAGTGAGACAATGTTAACATTGTCTCACTGATGAGCGAATTGGCCACTTTCGTGCTTTCACGTTGCAAATGGGGAGTGAGACAAAGTAATTAGAGTAAGACAATTTTAACATTGTCTCGCTGATGAGCGAATTGGCCACTTTCGTGCCTTCACGTTGCAAATCGGGAGTGAGACACAGTAATTAGAGTAAGACAATGTCAACATTGTCTCGCTGATGAGCGAATTGGCCACTTTTCTTTCTCAAATCAGTGAGAGAACATGTACTTTGTTAGGTAACTGTAGGAAAAGGGGTCATTTTCAATTAGCTAAACTCAGTTTTCCTCAAATGCTATTTAAAATTTCGTAAAATGTTATTAATCATAATTTTTGTTCAAAACTGCATAAACTCGCATCTACAAAAATTACTCTAAAACAGAGGAATAAGTTAACTTTTAATTATTTTATAATAGTTTTAACTTAACAATTTTTTTTACATGTTTAACAGTTTAACCGGTTAAACAAGGTGTATGGAAATAAACGAATCATAATTTAACTACAACGTTTAAATGTGATCATGCCAAGAAAATAATTTCATTTTAAAATTGGTATTAATCGAATTATTATATAGTTTAATAAAATGACAGATCATAAATCCTGTTTGTCTTAGGCCTTCTCATTTCCTTGAAAGAGATGTTTACAGATGTTTATAACATGTTCTAGTGTTCATGCGATGTAAAAGGTTTTTGTGCCTTTTGCATGGATTTAATTATCGTCTATAAATGGATACTGGATGAAAAAAATATTACGAAAAATATTTACCTTGACGACTTTCAATGAAATGTATAATTCATTGAATAATAATTCAACATTTTTTAAATCGATATCATGGGGGTTAAAAGATGTTGGAAATTTTATTGGGTTATCAAAGGTATTTTTTAACTTCATTTCAACTTTGTAAAAGTCGATCGAATAACCACCAACCTTTTACAGCCTATTCAAGTTCAAACCTATTTTCAAATTAAATTTTTTGTACGTAAATTTGAGTTTATACATGTGTATGATACACTTTTAGATTTGGCTGTATTGCTTGAAATCAGATAAACATGAGAAAATTAGGTTTGACAATAGTAGGTTAGACAATAGTAGGTGACAATAGTAGGTTTGACAATAGTAGGTTTGACAATAGTAGGTTTGACAATAGTAGGTTTGACAATAGTAGGTTTGACAATAGTAGGTTTGACAATAGTAGGTTTGACAATAGTAGGTTTGACAATAGTAGGTTTGACGATAGTAGGTTTGACAATAGTATGTTTGACAATAGTAGGTGACAATAGTTGCTTTGTAGGTTTGGTAGATACAAAGCTTTGATGGCACTTAAATTCAAAATAAACACATTAAAAATACTATAATGAGTATAAATTGTACTGTAGCCTTTCAACAGTTTTAAATTGCTTTGATCTTAATGTTTCATTTGTTTTTTGAATACCTTGAAGTATTAGCACGAAAAACTTACTTATTTTGTTACTCACCATGACTTATGATCATTGAGTTCTTGATTCGTGCTTTGTCCTCCAGAGATCCAATGATCAAATGATGATGGCTAAAACACAAATTTTTTATGTAAACACCAAAATACCCAGCTTAATATTTCGATATTTTTTATTTAAAAATTATAAAGCATCGTTATTATCAAGTTATTTCCAATGACTACTTTGTCTTTATCCAATGTCTTCAATGTACTCTCTTTTTGGAAAGCTTTGTTATAATTTTTTTTATAGCACATGGGGTTTAATGGCAGTGAGTAATAGGAATAGGAAGTTCCGTAAGGGGAACAAAGCTCAGGCCCAGTTTAAAAAAATATCTAAAATGTCTTAAATATTTTGACCCTTTTAAACTGTCTGTTACATGTAAAAGAGCGATCTGACAGCTCACTATACAAAAAAAAATGTATTCATAATCTAAAATAACCACTTTCAAGAATTATAAGATATCTAAGTTTTGTTATAAACCATCTCAACTTTTTGTATAAATTCTTAATCAATAATGTCAACCAAAAATTTCAAACATACCCTTGAATAGCTGTAACCAAAATGTTTTTCCTCAGTTGATGAATTCTTGGAGGTTTTAGATATTGTGGTACCTCTATAAAAAGACCCTCAATAACAAAACGAATTTAAAAAAGTGTAATTAAAAGCCATCCTGGATAACAAGTGAATATTTAAACACCATTGATTTATATCAAACCCATAACTAAATGTTATTACAAACTAATATGTATCCTTGATAAAAATTAGTTTTATTTGATAATCTCCATGAAAGCTTATCGAGGTTCTAGGTACCGTATGCATAACAAAATAAAAATACTGTTGTATCTGTATATTGAGTAATTTTTGGTTATTTTTACGTTTCATAGCATGAGAAACCCGAAACCAGTCTTTTCTCAATTTCTGTCCACCTGACCTATTTGTCTGTCTGTTACTGGTAATTCAAGAAAACTGAGGTCCCGATCAAGAAAAAGATTCAAATTGTTTTACCGAACATAATCACTAGATTGGTGAGAATTGCATTAACCTATTAAAACATGGTGTAATTTCAGTGGCAAATAACGAACGTCCAAACTCCAATTTGGTAACATTTTTGACAATTTCCAATTTTAGCGCATTTTAGGACCGGAATAGATTGATTGAATTCGGCAAATCACGTTCTCTAATCCATTCTTTTTCAAGTTTGATCATTTTCATTTGGCCATGATAGCCTCCTTTGATATATAGTCTTCCATAATAGTCATGGATCATGATAGTCTTCCAATGTTTCCCTGTTTAATAAGCCACCTTGTTTGCAAAACCCCTTGTCATATCCAACATCAATTTTCTTTTCTCATAAGATACGTTTTCTTATACTCGTAGCTGCAAGCGACGTCCAAACCAAAACGGACGAAGTCACGAGACAGCATTGAATCAAATGACGTAATCATCCATTCACCAAACAAAGATACGAGTAATTATGTTTACAACAGTTGTTTACAGATATGCTGAGGCGATGCGCCCAAACGTTCAGTGCCCGCAAACAACAGCGTGCGATGACCTTCAAACACAGCAGCGACTGTGTCACCCTGGCTGCTGGCTCCAGGGACCAGGGATGTACTTCTCAAACAGTACAGTATTTTTAAAATCTCCTGGTAAGACCTGGACCCGGGACCGATTTACATTTGTTACTAAAGCCTAGATACCTGTCAATTATTCAGTATAATTTACCTTTTTTATGTAGCCTAAGGTGTCAAACATTTACGTTGTTTTGATGTCCCCAAAAGCCTTCACCATCCATTGAAATTCATACAGTATAATTCATTATAAAATTATAATACAGGGGGTTTTAGAATGCAACCCAAATTATAGCTACCCCCATTAGCACTAAAACTCATAAATTATGCAACATTGTTTTAATTAGTTATTAATTTGTCAAAAGTTATCACAACCAAATGTCAAACTCTTTCTAAGCAATAAAAACTGCTTGCGTTTGTGCCAGGTGTCAACCATAGTATAAATATCTGTCTTGTTGACGTGACAATTGCATTCTAATGTTAAGGTTGCAATTGGGTTTAAAAGATAAAATAACCATTTAATTGATCACCACCAACATGATGAATTACTGTACTGTAAATTATGTTCATATACAGTAACACTAATTATTAATATCAAACTTAAAGAGAGAATAACTGTAGTCTATTTATAATTAACGTGTACTTGATAATCTCTTTATGGTTAAAAACCCCTCTGAAGCAAAACAAATTCTAAATTACAGGCAGTCAACTTAAAAGCGCTAAACTCTTACGGATTTTAACTCCAGGCTCGTGTGGGACTGTCTTGCTTCTGTGTCTGAGTTGGGTAGGAGAAATGACCTTACGCTTTGCTGGGTGCCAGGACACTCAGGCATAAAAGGTAATGAAGCTGCAGATAGATTGGCAAACACTGCCTCTGCGACAACAATGATAGGCCCACAAC